CCAAACAATTACACCAAACTCTGTTCCTTACTGCTACCCAAGTACAGACTTTCTGGATTAAGATATTTATGTTTGTGATAGCATCTTTACTAGCTTTACATTCATGTTACGGAAAGAACCTTGCACTGGCACCTGCAAGGCCATTGAACCTGGAAGACTAATGGCTAGGATCTAGTCCTTCCCTTGATGATAAAAATAACACTCTGACCCTTGTCTCCAATTAATCACAAGGTATCCTATTTTGACTCATCTCTCCACTCTAACATAAGACACTAGCCTGAGACGAACATTTGGCCACAGTGTCATCACAAGACTGCTGGACTAGATTCATCTGCACTTAAACTTGTGCCCTGTCCCAACCGTTTCCCATAAGAATAATGATGATTAGGACAGATTGAGAATAATTATCTGCATTCTTCATGGGATAAGACGTGAAAAGACACACAGGGCTTCCACTTCAATGTGAAGTCTACAATTCAGGAAGTAGCCAGGTTTCAAAGACATTTGAGAGAATCGAGCTAATGCTGAGATTTTTCTCCCTCAATTTGGCTATCCAAATGAGCTGAAAAGAACTACCTGCCTTGGGAGAGATCCTTTGAGAACATGGATGATGTGGCTGTTCCAAGCATATTTTCAGCTGCTAAACACACCATCACTCAGCCTCAATATAAAGAAAAGTCTGTGGGGAAATGTGGTTCCAGCAGTTGGCTGATGGACAAAATAGAAGAACAAAACCAATTTTATATTTCAGAGGAAAAAAATAAAGGAGCTTAAAGTCAAGAGCATTTATTGGTGTAAGGTCACATGAATAAAGCTGGGTTTCTGAAACTGATTCCAGGTGTATCTCTTCTGTGGAGGCACTTTACCTTCAATTCTTTACTTTCTGTCTAAAAATACTAGCTCCCAATAGCATGGTGTGAGAAAGTCTCACTTACTAGCCCAGATTTCTACTTCTTTACCCCATTTTGCTTTTCACTTAATTCTCCTCCCTAAAAAAAATTCCCTTTATTGTTATTCCTATAATTCAATGGGGTCCGTGAGATGTTCTTTAGAATGTATATTAATTGAAGGAAGCAGAAATGGATTAAAATGCAATAAAACCATTAGCCGGGCTAGTGAATGATTGCGCTTCCTGTATGATCAGTTTTGTAGACTTGCAATTCAAATTAGCAGTGCCATTTTTATAGATACTGACTAAAAATTAGTGAAGTGATCATTTCATTTGCATCACAAGGCCTGAAATATTTCTTTCCTGTATGTGATTTCTAATAAATATAATGGTTTTGTGCCATTCTCGTTATTCTTCTAAAATCTAAAAATCTTCTAAAAGAAAGGAAACTTTTCCCTCTCCTTCTGATTTCTTTCTCTTTGGAATTCCAGTAACCCTTGCTGTTTCAGCCAATTAGTGCTGGGTATACACTGTCTTACACAGTTCATCTTTTTTTATTGTTTTTATTTTACTGTTTTCATTAAATCATAAACTACTCAATGGTAGAGATTTTAGGTACCCCTCCCAGCACCTTTTAGTACAAACTAAATGAATAACTGTTAATTGGATTATACCATTAAATTCCATTGTTTTCTTCTTTCAACTTGGACTGAGGTTCTATTTGAGGTTACGCATGCCCTCCTCTCCATTTATAGTGCCTCACAAGAAATCAGTATGAGTGAGTTTAAGTGTAATAGGTTCTTTTCCTCCCTCAATTTTGATCCTCCTCTGTTATTATTAGACCTGATCATATAAATATAGTTGACTGATGAGTCAATGTTTTATTTTTTAAAACCTAATAGATTATTTTATTTTAATAAATAATAAACTTTGCGTATAATGAGATCTCAAAACATATAAAGTATTTTAGTATAGTATCCATATTATCATATGAAAAAGAACACCAATGTTTTACCAACACGAAACTTCAACCTTGATTTATTCTTATGGTAATTCTTACTCTTGATGATCTTTTTACTGACAGGTTTTACAATAGAGATTATCTGTGTAGAATCCATGATTTGGCATATATTACAGGAGAAAAAAATGATGAAAAAGTGGGTCAATAATACTTCCAATGTCAGAGACAGCTTTTCGAACACTCAGGAGGAGTTCAGGTATGTGAAGGGAGATGTGGGAATACAGTAGACATTCAATTTAGCAATATAATATCACAATCCTGCCAGCATTTCCTCATAAGTATAAACAGTAAAATGGGTTGAACTTGCATCAAACTTAGAAGAAGGAACTACACATTCATTGGAGAAAATGATCTATGAAAACAGAACTTCTGTAAATAAATAGGATTTTTAAAAATTATATAACTATTATTATCTCATTTGGGCATCAAATTGCATTAGTTTATAGCTTGCGTTCTATCATTCTGGTAACCTACTAAGATAAAAGTAAGGATGCAGAGCATGAGTCTGGCTTATTCTGAGAAACAAGTTCTGGAATAGAGTTCTCCTACAATTTTATACAAATATACTTCTTTCATTCATTTACCATTGATTCTATGTAGGTCACATGAGTTCACAAATATTCCACGAAAACAAAGTACTCCTCCCCACCCAAGAAAAATCCAATCCAAGAATTATTGGTATAACTCTAGCAGTAAGACTCATATTCTACCACTTACTAAAGTGAAAGCTCCTTGGAGGTGGTGAAGAGAGAGGACATTTTTGTATTATTAATATTTGTACTTCCATCCTGCCTTTCTAGTGCTTAGCACCTATTGGCACCCACTAAACAGCAGATGAATAAATTAAGGAACTAATAATTAATCTAGGGAAAAAAAATTTTCTTCCTGGAATTTAACATAAGCTTAACTGTAAGAGTAAATATCAGACAAGGCAGGAAGGATTATTTGTCTCCTGTTTTCTTGTATGAGGAGAGATCATAGAGCAGATCCACAAAAATTAGAAGACGCTGTAGTACACAAGTTTTATGCTTATTTTTATTCTGAAATTCTGTAAGGATTTTTTCCTAAGCAATTGCAGATCAAAATCCCGAGACATGAAATCACAACATCTCACTCAGAGTTCAGAGTCAAATTGCCAAATACGCACAATGTTTACACCCATTTGGGTCTGGCTGACAAAATGACAAGTAGAAAACTGCCCACGTGGAAGACTTTGAGGTCTCCCCAAAAGACACCAACATTGGCCTGAAACCATCACCTCTGTTATTATTGATTAAGTGACCCTTAAAGGTATGGATTTTATCTCCAAGTTTCTCTTAATTTAATTCTATAAACATCAATTGAATTTCTACTATGTTCAAACACATTGTATGAAATAGTCGAATTTCAAAGGTGAATATGACACAATTCTACTTTCAAAAAAATCAAAACAGAGAAAAAGACATGCAGACAGCTACCTGTAATATAAAGTGATTAGTTTATTAGATTAACTATTTTATAGCTGGGTCCCCAAGAAAATGAAATATTAGCTGGACTGATGCAATGACCAAGGCAGAGCTGAGGATGGAGGCAGTGTTTTAGTGTCAACCGGCCATGGTGGAAGGAATGAGGGAGATCAGTTGATAGGCAAGTCTACGGTAGAGAAGCACTGCTAAAATAATCCACTGCTAAGATAATCCCACAAATTTGTAGTTTTGGGCTATGATTTTCCATACTCTTATTCTTATAGAAACAAACCTGCTGAAAACTGTGAAATAAAAAGAAACCAAAAAGTTAGAAGTTCTTGAAAACATTTTGGAGGGTCAGTTGTGTTCTTAGAATTTGAAAAAGTAAGTTTGTTCTGGGTCCTGCGGGAGAGGGCTTTAAGTAGTGGGATAAATTAAAGAAATTCTCCTCTTTTTGTTCTTCTTAAGGGAGTTCTAAGGGGATGTGTTATAAAGAGAAAAGGGCAAAAATTAGAGCAATAATATTATTCCTTTTTCTGAGTGTAATGCTGCAAGGTTTGAGAAGAGACCGTGTTTGTATGAGACACATGTCAGTCACTGGCATGTTAATGCAGACTAAATAAAGAATGATATCTTAAATTTTAGAAAAAGGGATAAAATAGATCTTCCCCTGAAAGAGATAGATCTTTGTTGCATTTTATTCTCAATTCAGAAGCAGAGAAATGAGACAAGAATAGCAGGCTATATAGTTAATGAAATCAAGATCACTGTTTGATTATTAATAGAATAACCAATAATAGAAAGATAATGGACAATTAAACTTATTTAAAGGAAATATATATAATGAGAGCTTATAGAACAATGCTATTTTGATACAGTGTTATTTAGTTTTAAAAGTTAATCCGTAAATTCTTAAGAATTGCTTGGGAGATCCTAAGAATTCCAGGTACTTAGAATTTAATACTACTTGAACTTTATGACCCAGGTCAGAGTGGTTGTGACAGAAGGGAATACTCTAAAGAAACTGTGGAGGGCCCTGAAAAGATAATCACAAGAATGGCCTTGAGGGTTTTAAAGCAAAGTCATGCCTTCTTCTTTAAATAACTATTTGCTTTCAAGAAACCACTCCTGGCTTAGATCTGAGGCAGCATAGTGCACAGAGGGGTTAAGAGTGCAATCCTTGGAGCCTGACTGTCTGAGTTTGAATCCTATATCTCTCCCTTACTAGCCATGTGACCATGGATACCAGAGTTAAACTGTTCCACATTTCCTCTCTGGAAAATAGAAACAATAATAGTACTTACTTCACAGTGGCACTGTGATGATTAAAGAAATTAATGTACATAAAGTCCTTACGAAAGTGTCTGACACATTGTAAATACCATATTCATGCTTCCTATTATCATCACAACTGGATCCTGGTGGAAACTCAATGTCTGCCCTTGGGATATCAAATGATCATGCAACCTGAGCTACCTTACATAAACTGGGTGTGATCTGATCCACCAATAATAAAGCACATACAAATGGCACCCCGTCATCAAATGGCCGTGATGCATACACAAACAGCCTCAATTAAGGCCTAAAGAAAGCACCAGCAAGTGCTGTAAACAGGTGATTGATACTAACACTGCACCTGCTCTTGCTTCATTGCCACTTTTTCCTCCACTCTTTATGAGAAGGCCCCGAAAACAAGTGAGCTAGGAAGAGCATATCTGAACTTGGTTTAAAAATGGCTCTGCGTGATATTCTGGCTCCCACTGAAAGTGGAGGGCTGCAACACATCGGGGATCGTCTTCTTTGACAAAGGTTGATCAGGGAGTTGGAAATAATGAGATTGAAGATTGGATGAAAAGTGAATCTTGAAAAGAGACTTGTGGATAAGACTCTCAGCATGGGCACAGAGTGCAAGGATATCTATATCTCACGGGAATGTTCATCAAAGGATACGAGGTGCAGAAGAGGCTCTCAATAATCAGGTAGATAGAATACACGTTCTCCAGTTGTAAGTCTCTTTATCTGGACACTCCTGTCCTTGTTCAAAGGCTCAAAAGCAAAGTGGCCATGATGGTAGAAATGTAGGTTATGCAAGGGCTCAGTAAGATGGACTTCTTCATAACATAGCTGATCTGACTACTGTTACTGCTTAGTGCCTGGTCTTCCAAGGGTAGAGATCAATGTAGAGGCTGACATGTCATCGTGATCAAGTGAACCTGGTTATAAGTTCATCACTTGTTTACTGCAATTATCAAGAAGATTTGTTCTTCCTTGATAGATACTTGTTATGGATATATATATATTCTATCTCTGCCTGGTAGGGAAATCTTGTTTCTGACCAGAGAATTTGATAGCAAAAGAAGTAAGGCAATAGGTTTATACCCAAGGCATTCACAGATCTTAGCATACATTCAAGCATTCAGAAGCCATAGTCCTTATGAAAAATGGAAATGGCCTATAGAAGAACCAATATTGGTGCCAGTTATGACATCTTACAAGGTTGGATTTGCTGCCACTGGAAGCAGTTTATGCTGTGAATTAAGGATTAATATACATTTTTTGTCGAATCTTAATCTCTACCCAGGCAGGCCACTAAAACGAGATATTATTAGAAAGCTTTGATGCTAAGCAAATTACTGATTGTCGTAACAATTACAACTCCCTCTTGTATACCGTATGCCATTGTTTCCCAAAGTGTGTTTCACTGATCACTACCTCCCCAGGATATGTTGGTAAATGCTCTATTGTCAAAGTATTTTGGAAAATTGGAGACTGAACAAGATTAAATAGGTTTCTTTATTATAAAACCTTTCAGAGCTTATAATATGGCAGTGCACTTTGTGAATTTTCAAAAGGAGTATGGAGTAGCAGAATGTCCCAAATTTATTTGATTATGGAACCCTGTTTTTTTCTGAACTGCTTTTCTTATATTATTGTGCTACAGGGAAACATTTAATGGAAAATTTGAGGAGATGTTTAAAATGATATCTGGACAGGAATCAATCTAATAAGTGGTGGTGAGAAAACTATCCCTCTTATGTTTATGAAAAAATTGTAATAAAAAAGCCCTGGACAGACAGGTTTGTTGGATTTGTTATAAACATATTGTTTGGCAGAATTCTTTAGCTTCAGGAGAGCCAATATCCAGAGGTGACAAATTACCAACCAAGGAACACTTACATTCCGACACTCCCAGGACCTCCATTTACTAGTATTAAAATCAAAGTAGTGAGAAATATGCTGTATTCTGGAATCATAGTCATTTAGTCAAGGATATTTAATAGTTTCTAAGAAACTATGAAGGCCTATTCTCTCTTTTAGTCAGGTGTAAGTATATGTAATTAATTTTTGTAAAATTTAAAAAGAATTTGGTGAACAGATTTGTCAAACACAATAAAGATATGAACATCTGCAAAGTAAAGCCACATTTGTTTTTACTTTCAGAACATTTTGAAAAGAGGAGATGACATTTAATTCTTCAGAACCCGACAAGTTACCAGGTAAAGAAATGGAATTGCCAATCTTCAACCTGTGACAGAAGAGACAAAAGTAACTAATTGAACAATCCTGCTTGATTTGGTTTGTTTTTGGACTTATAATGTTAAAGAAAAACTAGGGGAAACTGAGTGATGAGCATGAAATGTTCCTTACAGATGAACAAGTACTTCACATCCACATGCTGACAGGGCATTTGATTTTTGTTTTCAGAAGAAGAAAATCATCAAACACTTAATAGCGCTATTTTGGAGTTCACAAAACCTGACATTTTTAACAAGAGATGCTTGCATAATCTATTCTGTGATGAAAGTATCACACATTTTATATTCCCATTCTCTCTCTTCTTTGCTTATAAAAGTCTTTCTTTCCAAGATCTGTCAGTGCTATTTTAAGAGTTAAATTACACACTCCCTAGCTTAGATTTTCCCAATTAGACATGAACGTAAACCTTTGAATTGGAAATCATGTCATTTAAAATAGGCCAGAAGTTACCAGGAAGTCATTTCACACACCAATGTTGTTGCCTGGCATAAGTGGTTCCCCAGCCAATACTTTACTCAAGTTTTTAACCAGCTTACAAGTGTTCATTTGTTAATGGTTAACCATCCATTTTGGATCATGCTTAGCCAAAATTGATCATTTGTCTGCTGAATGAGTAGAGAATAGCAAAAGGAGAAAACATAGCTTCCTTCTAAAGCTTAGTTTTGTAAGTTACATTATAGAAAAGCATGCAATTGCCTCTCTATCTAAGGCATTGTAGTAGGTCAAGCCAAGAATTCTAGCTAGGGGAAGGGAAAAGGAGACTGATTTAGCCAGACTATATTCAGCACCTTATAAATGAGGCCTTCATCCTCTCTGCTTCATAGGAAAAGTATTCTTTATCTAATCTGTTATAATTAAGAACTTTATACCAATAGGACTAAAATTTTGCATTATGAGTTCTCTAATATGCTGTTCTTGTAAAGAATATGACATAAAGAATAATACTCTCTTGGTCAAGTCACTGGGAACCAGAAATACATGTACACACACACACATACACACATAATAGTTTTTCTACTATAATAGTTTTACTACCATTCATGGTCAAAATTTGTTAAAACCTGAAATATTTGAAACTATCAAAGATCAGTAGAATTTCTTGATTAAAATATGCAGCCATCACAATAATAAGCATAGGCAACAATGCCTAGCTAAGATTCAAAGCATGTTATTTCTTGATAGAACTAATAATAACAGTAATTGCTGACATTTACTAAGTCCCTGCTTTCTGTCAGTCTCAGTACTAGGCATTTTTCCTAAGTAACTTTATTAATCCTTACGACAAATCTTGAGATTCACATAATGTTGTCTATATTACAATCAAAACTTGGAAAGATTATGTAGTTTGTCCAAGGTAAAACAAACAAACCCACTAAATAGTGGAATTAGGATGAGAACCCAAAATAGCACAGTCTCTAACCACCAGTTCTTGCACATTTGCTGAAAGAGCACTGTATTGGTGCCTCTCTTATGGCACTGCTCACAAATATACATCAGCATAAAGTTATTTATGTATAAGCGATCATATGTAGCAGATAAAAATTATCTTATGTGAAATCAAGGAAAACGTTCTTTTCTTTCTAGTTTCTGCCAAAGATTTGCACAGTATCCTTTTCTGTAGTTGATACTCAAATTATGATTAAATTAATGTTTGTCCTGCAAGGACTGTAAAATGATAGTACAGTTTCTCAGCCAGCTACAAATTGTGGAGACTAGAAAAAAGTTAGAGAGGAAATTCTTTAACCCTTTCCCGCTCTTTCCCTTCTATTTATCTTGAAATTTTAGGGCTTAATTGGGTTATTAGCTGACTGTGATAATATATAAAAATAAAATAAACTGAAGAGGACAGAGAGAGAAAAAGAGAGAAAATAAGTTAATTATACAACAAGATTATTAACACTTTGACTTATTTTATACTGTGTCTGTATTCTTATTTTATTCTATATTATTTCTGTACTCTCATAGGTCTAGAAAAGGAAGTAAAAACTAATTATTTCTTCTCCTCTGTGCTACCCAGCTTCTAGGTACCATTCTACAGCACTCATCACACTATATTGGAGTCACCTATGTACATCCTGCCGTTCCACTGGACTATGAGCTCTTTGAGAGGAAGACTATTGCATCTTTTTATATCCTCAATACAAAATACTTACTGAATAGATACATGAATGAATGAATGAATGAATGGAATTTTCTTTACTGTACTAGGTACCAAGAATAAAAAATGGCTAAAGTACAGGCTCAGCTCTTGAAGACCTTATAATCTTCCATAAAGGACAGATATAAAGAAATAGTTATTAAAATAGGAGACAGGAGCACAGAGGAAGGGCACCTAATGAGAAGGAGGAATCCTTATAAGTTCTTTGGGGGAAGAGTCTGGGGAACGGCCCTATTAAAGATTACCTGAGTGGGTCTTTGATAGATGAAGGGGAGATTGTGGGGAAAAAGAACACAGTAATTGAGGGAGAAAACACTAGTAAGCCTATAAAGATGAGAAACAGTGTGTTAAATATGGCAAATAATAAGCAGTTCACATCTAATGGAACATAAAGGAGAGAGATGTTTAGAGACAAGGTTGGAGAGGTGGACCAGGTCCAGCTCCTGATCAGGAGGTTTAAGTGACGGGAACCATTGAAAGGCTGTAAGCTGGGCAATGGTATGATCAGATACATGTTTGAGTGGGACAAAACTAAACAAGGGTCAAGAAGGTATTTTACTAGTTCAAGCAAGAGATATAGAAGGCCTGAATTACAGTAAATGTAGGAAAAAAGAAGGAGAAAAGCCTTCTAAAGGAAAGATTCTTTACTCTCCTCTGAACACATAGCCTTCTAGTTATTATTTTATAACACAACACATTGCATTAGAGTCGACAGCATTTAATTGGAGTCAAACTTGAAATTCAATCAGGTGTAAGAGATAGGTGAATGGAAGAAGTCAAGAGTATATCCCAGGTTTCTAGCTTGGTTAACTGGAGCATAGTGGTGTTGAGGTAGAAAAGACAGAGATCAGTAGATTTGGACAAAAAAATAGGATTTAGAATGCTGAAGAGATAATGCTTATTGATTCATTTCTAGACATGCTGAGTTTGATATTTCTGTGATATGTCAAAGTAGAGGTGTTTCACAGATAGGTGATCGTAAAGCTGAGTATGAATGTGAAGTGCAGCCAAGACGTCTAGAATTAAGATCAAGATATTAGCAGCAACTGGATGTTGAAATTATACCAGATGAGAAAAATGCAAGAAGAGAGTATAGGACAAGAAGATAAGTGGTCTGAAGAGATAGCCTGGAGAAATACCTCTAGTTATTAGTGGATACAAGGAGGGTTCATGAAGAAGATAAACATAGTAAGATAAGGTAAGGTAACATATACATCATATGGTAAGACATACATAGTTAAGACGTGATATGGTAGGAAATACAATAGAATCAGAAGAGTTTGGTATTGAGGACTCAATGGGATAGAAAACTTTTATCCTGAAGAGTAACAAATGGTGTCAATTCAATAGAACTTCAATAATGACAGCTTAAAAAACGTGCGCTGGATTTGGCAGGTTGGGAGGCATTGGCGGCCTTCTCCAAAACAGTTTCAATAGAAAGTGGCGGCAAGGGCCAGGTTGCCATGGTAAGGCAAAGACTCTCTTCGAAATTCTCACCACACTCCAGAACATCAAATCCTTAAGAAGTATTGCAGTAAAAATTCTGCTTACATTCAGTTATTTATTTTTAATCTGGCCTTTCACCTCCACTAATTCACAAAAGTTGTTTTTCATGTAACACAAATAATGTAACAATGAGATCTGTGATCATTAGAACACACTTTGAGAAAGATGGATCGGAAGCTCTACATATTTAACTATATCTAGACTTTAAAAATATGATGAGCTGAAAGAAATAATCTGAAAGGGAGAGTGATGGAGGTTTCGTAATGAGAAATAAATTATTTCTAAAAATTCAGAAGTGACTGTATCTAAATCTCCTCAGTTTTTATGAGAATACTGGGGTGCCCTGACATTTGGCTCAGCTGTACATAGAAAACATACGCTGGAAAGAGGAGCAAAACGGTAATCCTTTGGGGAGATTTTTAGATTTGTTCATCTAGATTTGAATAGAAATTAAATAATGACTTAGTATATTGTTCTGAGCTAGAGGACAGTGAAAACGCTGATGCAAGAGGAGCAAAACACTTGATTTATCATTCATAGCTTCCTTAAACTTGTCAGAAACAGCTATTTTTTTTTTTATTATAAAGCCTCTTTTCCTGGACTAGAAAATATGATACTGTCAGGTAGTCAGGCACCTCTGTATTTGGAGTCCATTACAGTGGAATCATGGGACTTCTCACTGCAAGGGGGCTGGCTTAGAGGCACTTTTCTATATCATAATACATTAACAAGAAAAAGAAATGAACAAGAATATTGTTGTTTTTCATATCCTCTCTTTTGGTTTCAATTATGAGTGTATTTATGTGTTGGTACATGGGAGAGGGGAAGTCACTTTTGTTTTTCTTCTTCAGGAACAAATTAATTTGCTTAGAAGTAAATGGGAAAATAGGAGAGACCAGAGCAAAATCAGTGATATAAGAAACGTCTAAACTACAGTGACTTCATCATCAAACAAGATACTTTTAAGGTATGCAGACATTAAAGATTCTCCCTATACCACCACTGCCCATTTTATTTCAAGGAACTTCGAATCTAAGTACTCTGCTCTCAGTAGCTCCTGGAAGAAACTGAAGAACCTGCGAGCAAAGACTGAGAAATTCTCCTCACTCAAATGCATTATCTGTTCTCTGGGTACCAGTTGAACATTTCCTCACTCATTGCTCACAATTAAAATCAGAAAGCACAGCTAAAATATCAGATAACCAGTGTGACACAATATCCACATTGGATTGAAGAATTAGATTTTTAATGATTAGGGAAAATCACCCTTACATTAATCGTTTCTAAAACTATTAAACTGTCTTTCCCTAAAAAACAAGAATGAGAAGCAATTCAAAATTAGTTACACACATCTATAAATATCTACTGATCAGATCCCCTGATCTATGCAGATCACTCAGCAGGTGTTATGGAGGATAGAGAAATAATGTAATGATCCTCACTTTCAAGAGCTAGAAAATAAATCAAGGCATGAATGCGCAGATGTGCGTCTTGGAGTCAATTCTAAAACTGTGTTTTCTCTGAAGCTCCCCATACATCAAATATTACTGAAAAAATTTAAGCTCTCACATTTTCTTCCTTCCTGCAATAGCTAGCTCATAACCAACATCAAAATTTTGTAAGTCACTGACATCGTTCAATCATCATGGGATAAAGGCTACAGGGAAAACAACTAAAAAATGCATTTACCTTAATGAAAAAGAAAAAGCTTTATTTTCTTAATAGTAATAGCAATAGAAATGACAATGGTAATAAAAATATCATTTCTTAAGCACTTATTACCAATGCCAGGCAGCAGACTCAGTGCTTTACAAACCTTAATTCATTTAAGCCTGCTAAGAACTGTTTGAGACAGAAGATCCTCATTTTAGTAGCAAGAGAAGCAAGGATAATAAATATTAAGCAACTAGTCGAAGTCATTCAGCTGGGAAATAGGGATGCACTGGCCCAAATTCACATTCTTAAATATTACCCCACACTATACACACCTACATATGCTGCTCTAATCCAAATAATAACACCTTTCAACAGACTCCTAAACTGTCTTATGTTGGCTGAATCCTATAGTGAGAGATCACCCTACTGACAGTCAGTCATCTTCTTAAGTAAAGTTGGATTATAATCCCTGTCACGACATTGCATTTCCTAAAGGCGGCCAAGCCAATATATCCCACTGCACAAGCTCTTTTTTTTTCCTTCGCCTCCCCAAAGCCCCAGTACATAATTGTATATCCTAGTTGTAGGTCATTCTAGTTCTTCTACGGGGGATGCTGCCACAGCTTGGTTTGATGAGCAGTATGTAGGTCCCCGCGCAGGATCCAAACCAGTGAACCGCTGGCCACCAAAGCAGAGCACGTGAGCTTAGCCACTATGCCAATGGGCCAGCCCCAACAAGCTCTTTTTAAAATGCAATGTTGATTCTTTTTCACTGAGGAGTGTGGTCCCTATTTCCCTTCCTTGAATATGGCCCGGTCTGTAACTATGGAACAAGTGACCCTGTGTGACTTCTGAGGCTAACTGATCAAAGGTTATTTAGCTTCCACCTGGTTCTCATGAGATACTCATCTTTGGAATCCAGCTGCATTGCTGTGAAGAAGTTAAGAAGCCACATAGAAAGGTCATGCGTAGGTGTCTGGCCACAGCCCTAGCTGAGGTCACAGTTTCTTTCTAGTATCAAACATCTAACAAATGAATGGGCAAGCCTTTAGATAACTCCATTCCCCAGCATTTGAGTTGCTCCCAGTGATGTCTTGTGGAGCTGAGACAAGCTGTGCCCACTGATCCCTGTTCAAATGTCAAGTCTGTGAACAAAATAAGTGTTGTCATTATATTAAGCCACGAAATTTTGGGTCAGTATGTTACACAGTAATATATAGCCATATCATATGTCTAACTTCACAGTATTGTGTGTTCTAAAGGAGATAAGACAAGCAAAATATATTGGGAAGAGCTTGAAAAATTATATGATTATTATTGCTTTTGTTTTTGTTGTGATAATTGCCCTATGGAGTCACTCCAAATGATGAAACTTGTTCCAATATCCTCTACTCTTACTACTAAAAATATAGTCCATGGACCAGCAGCATCAGTGTCCCCTGGGAAATGGTTAGAAACGCAGAATCTGGGGTCTCATCCTAGACTTACTGAATCAGAATCTGCACTTTAACAAAATATCCAGGTGCTTCCTATGCATATGAAAGTTTGAGAAACACTAGCATAGACCACCTCAGCAGGTCCACGATTGTGTAGGTCATGTCCATGATCGATCCTATGTATCGGTTAGCCTAAGGGAATCACTACTCCTGTGGATAAACACTAGCTCCTCGTCGTCTATAGATAGAAATGTAGAAGCAGTAAGAAACCCTCTGCATTTTCATGGGGGAAATTCATGAAAAATAAAAGCCTTCAAAAGCTCTGTCTCTCTTTCAAGATGAGTGGAAGGCTGACAGAGGCGACCCAGCATGATCTGACAGATGGTGTATGTCAGATGGATGAGTGGAAAAAAAAAGAAAAAAAGGCCTTTCAAAGTACCTGATTGTAGTTTTAGCTAAAAGCTGCCGGTAAGCCAATTTTCTAGAGTCCAGTAGCTTTCAAATGTTTTGGATCAAGGATTCACTATTCCAGTATTTTGCAGGTAATTGGTTAGCTGGATTGCCAATTACCTGCATAGGTAAAAGCGAGCATCCTTGTCCGTGCCTTTCCCTAATTAAAGTTGTCGGTTTGAGGCACAAATATAGGAGGTTACCGTGGTGTTGTAAGATCAGAGCCTTTTCGATTTTAATTTGACCTAGTGTGTCCACTCCAAAATCTCCAATCAGATCCTAAATTCTAGCTCTGTTTGGACCTTACCTTTAATCTAAATATTAGCTTAGATATTTTTACTTGGCAAAAATTGAATGTACAAGGCTTGCATCATTGCTTACATGGTCTAAACATTATTAAAAACAGCAGAAAAATAACTGGGACTCCAAAAACAGCAAATATTTTTAAAAGTGAGAGAAAAGAAAAGCCGACCCCATTTGTTTTCTTTAAAATTGGTTTTAAACTTGATCTCCTCTTTAATCATCACCATGATAGCAATAAACTTCATAATTATACGGCATTTTTCAGCTTTCTGCTTAGCCCTTTCAATAGCCTTCTGAAACGGTGAGGAAGGTGAAACAAAGAGCAGAAGAAATCAACGCAGGTAACATCACCAGTTATCGTTTTATGGTTGAGGAAAAACTAATGTTCACATTTCCTGACTCCTTGCGGGAATGTTCCTCTCTGGGAAACAGAAGAGGTACCTTAATTTTAGGTAAAAATTATAGCTAAAATCCACACGGGATGGAATATAACCACAGCCTCTAGCACAGTCCTGTCCAATTCCAATAGGATTTTCTGTGACAGCAAGAATGCTCTTTATCTGCACTGTCCAATATGGTAACCACTATCCACATGTGCCTATTGCACACTTGAAATGTGGCTATTGAGACTAAGAAACTGATTTGAATGAACTGGCTTTATTCCATTTTAAATAAGTTTTTAAAAAAGTTAAATTTAACTTTGCTCCAAAGAGTAGAAGCATGAAGGGCTGAGAGCCAGGCGTGGAAAATCCACCCTCCAAAAATGACTTCTAGGCATCTTCTTGCACAAAGCAAACTATTATTCCCAATTGCAGAGATC